CTACGCCCAGCCCAGCGCCGTGTAGGTTTAAGGCGCGATCTACAAAAAGTTTCCACATTTCGCTAATGAAAAGTTTCCAGCATTCTAAGGGATCCTAGGAGGCTTGACGGTTGAGGTGATTACGGTCGCTCGGCTGCTCGGTTATTTCTGCCACAAGCTCGCCACTGATAGTTTCAACAGACGTGCCTTCAACCTCCCTCGACGATGCAGCACCGGATCCAACAGGTTGACCCGTTATTCCCAAATCCAACATCACACTGTCGGGTTGAAGTACACCTCCGACTGAAAGATTTGTGGACGGGTATGACAACCCTCACCACTAATTAGTACTAATTTATGGTTAAGCATGTTAAGTGACTGATTAACTGAAATTCTGACTGATTGATTTAGTGTACTAGCTTAAATGCATTTCTATCTGTTTATCATTGAATTATCTGTTCATGTTTTAAGTTTCGAACTGTAAATTGAAGGCCTTATTGGCGGCCAAATCCGAAACTGATTAGTGTTTTATGCTAATTAGAATTTATATGATTTTATGATAAATTTAGTTGGAATTTGATTTGGTATGACTAAATTATATTAAATAATGTTAAATTACATTAGTTTGAATAAACTACCATTTTGCCACTTAGTGGGCCATTTACTAAGGCACCTTGAGACTTATTCAAACACATTTCCTCAGCCATTTGAGACCCATAACCGACTAGAGAGAGAGGGTTAGAAGAGGATTGATTTCAACAAGTTTTGGCTAGGAATTTGAAGAATTGAAGTGTAGATTGCGCAATTGAGCTTCTAGACTTGAAATTGAAGACTTATGGTAGAGCTTTTAACTTCTTGTTTATGAATTGAGTTGGTTCTTGCATGGTTTAGAAGAATGTTGAAGTCTAGAGCCAAGTTATGGCTTAAAATGTTGTATTGAAGCTTAAATCATGCATGCATGTACATGTTCTAGCATTTTGAGGTTGTTTTCATGGAAATTGTTACATGCATGTCCATACTCTAGCTTTGGTCCATGAATTCAACATGTTTTTGAAAGTTTTGATTCATTTGATTGTGTATTGAAAGCTTTGAATTCAATTGAATACATGCATGTTGCATGTTCATCATGTTCTTGAAGTTTTGTTTGAAAATGGGTTCAATTGAATTACCTTTTGGTCTTTGATTTTACAAATTGATCTTTGAAACATGTCATATTATGAGTTTTAAAGTGTTTTTCAGAAAATTAGCCCCAAATGATCGAATTTGATGCCTTAAATGTTGAATTTCATGCTTGGAGACAAATCTGGAAATTTCAGATTTTGGATCCACGCTCGAGCAAGGAACTCCACGCTCGAGTGTACACTCTGAGTTCATGCAATCTGCTCGAGCGAGCAAAGTGACGCTCGAGTGTGAAATGCGTGTATCCAGCACTTTGCGTGTGTTTATAGTCCGCTCGAGCGAGGGAATGCACGCTCGAGTGAGGACTTATGTCTCACGCTCGAGCGAGGGTCGAGCACCCGTCGAGCGTGAATTTCATGCATCCAGTCCTTTTACAGTCTGCTCGAGCGAGGAAAGTCACGCTTGAGCGGAGCTCCTTTGTCTGCATGTCCGCTCGAGCGTAGAAAGCCACGCTCGAACGAGACCCCTGTTTTCTGAAAATTCTGAAAAGTGTTTTAAAGTGCATTTTTGCATCCTCATTCTATCCTAGGCATTCATCGGCCTAGTTTAAGGCATCTTAATGAGGATAATGCTTTAGAACCACACCGCGTCAAGATAGAGACTAAGTTATTGTTTCCTAAACGTGCAACTTAGTGTGTGTGCATCCTATAACTGTGTAGGGTTGGCATTCGAGAATGCTCACTAGCCTATCTATAGCCCAGAACTCTGTGAGTAACAATGTTGTAAAGATATATTCAATCATAAATAATTTCTGAATGATTAACTGTACTGCTTTCTAAAATGATATTTCTTACTGAATGAATGCTTGTCCTATTTGCGAACTGTATTCGTGGCATTCGTAGCAATTTACTGTTACTGTACTGTACTGCTACTGTCACAGAGATCTCTGTCGGTTCCCATGTTTGGAACCACTACTGTTTACTGATATGACAGCCATCAACTGACCGTTCGGTCTGTTAAGACCTACTGTATTGTTTGCTATTGGATGTACCACTTATGACTGCTATGATCGAATAACTAATATACTGTTCAAATGACTGTTTTTAATAATGAAAGGACATTCATTCCTAACCTCTTTACGCATATGTTATTCACTGGGCTTTAGCTCACTGTTTATATATGTATGTAGGTGTCCAGGCATCGGATCGGAGCTAGGGGCGTTGGGTTAAACTCCCTTTTTGTCAAGCCAACCATCGTGCCTCACTGCGAGGTTCCAAGTGCTGCCAAGCTAAGGCTGCTTTGGGGTGTTTTAGATTTCCCCTCTCTGTTTCTATTTTGTATAGACTGTATGAGACTTATACTGTACTGTTATGGTAGGGATTTGGTTCCTAACCTGAATGCCTATTTATGATGTATATATATACTGTTATGGTTTGAATGTGAATATGTTATGAAAAGTCTTTTTGCATACAGACTGTCACAGCTCATTGGACATCTTTCATTTACTGTTTTGGCTTCCACCAGCCCCTGTACTCTGTATTACAATTATTACTATTAAGAGGCCTTCGGTAATCACGGATTACTGGCCGGTTACGGTGCTAAACCCATAGGGGCGGGTTTGGGTCGCGACAAGGGGCATGCAAGTTCTGCATCGCTGACATCACTCTGTTGTGCAATTTCCGTTGCGCTTACCTCCTTCACCCCGACTGCCGCGGTAAGATCCACCGGGCATACCGGGTGAATTCCAAGCGAGACTTTGGAAACAAAATCGGCCAATGCTTGGGCTTTGATAGCGGTTCGGGGTTAAAACTTGACGTCAAATTGCCTCAATTCAACTACCCACTTCTGAATTCAGTCGGAAAAAATCCGCCCGCTCAAATAAGGCTTTCAAAGGGAATTCAGTCAACACCAAGATTGTGTGAGCTTGAAAGTAGTGCGCCAATTTCCTGGAGGCCATCATTAGTGCCAAAGTAAGTTTTTCCAGCAGCAAGTATCTGGACTCTACCGGTAGCAAGGTTTTTCTTACACAAAAGATTAGGAGATGTTGGATACCTTCTGCCCGAACGAGCACCGCACTAACTGCATATTGAGAAATAGCCAGATAAAGGTAGAGTTCTTCGCCGAGCTTGGGTGTCACCAAGAGCGAGGCGGAAGACAAATACGTCTTGAGTTCGGCTAAGGCCTTGTCACATTCTTCATCCCACAAAAACTTGGACTTCAAGGCTCGAAAAAAAGGGCGGCAACGATCAGATGACCAGCTTATGAATCGATTAAGCGCGGTTGCCATACTGGAAAAATGTTGCACATCCTTTGCCGAGTTAGGCTGCTTCAATTCTTGTATGGCTCTGACTTGTGAGGGGTCCGCTTCGATGCCTCGGTTGGTGATTAAAAAGCCCAGGAATTTCCCTGACTCCACGCCAAAGCCACACTTGGACGCATTCAGGCGAAGCTTGTGTTGTTTAAGAATGGCAAACATCTCGGCTAGGTCGGACTAGTGGTCTGCCTAATGCTTGCTTTTGACCACCATGTCATCGATGTAAGCCTCCATTGTGTGGCCTAGTAGAGGAGCGAACATCTTGGTCACCATCCTCTAGAAAGTCGCCCCGGCATTTTTTAAATCAAAAGGCATGACTCTATAGCAAAACAATCCCCTCGGCGTTGTGAAAGAGGTTATCTTGTGGTCGGGTGCATGCATGGCGATCTGGTGATAATCGCGATAGGCATCTACGAAACTGAGCCAGTTGTGTCCGGTTGTAAGATCCACCAGCTGGTCGATTCTGGGCAAAGAAAAGTTGTCTTTAGGGCAAGCTCAGTTGACCGTCTTGTAATCAATGCAAACTCGTCACTTTCCATTCTTCTTGGGTACTACGACTATGTTTGAAACCCACCGAGGGTAGTGCACTTCCTGGATTGCCCTAACTTCTACCAGGTTCTTGACTTCCTCCGCAACTACCTCGGCGTGATGAAGGGTTGATCTCCTCGTTCTTTGAATGACAGGACGTGCGTCTAGGTAGACATTGAGTTGGTGTCAAATAAAGCTTGGATCGACGCCAGGCATGTCGTATGGCGTCCATACAAATACTTCGATAGTCGCAACCAAGAACTCCACCATCTCGGTCCTTTCTTAGGCGGTTAGGCTAGATCCCAGCAAAAAAAACTTGTCAGGATTCTCTGTGTCGATCTGTACCTCCACCAAATCTTCAACAGTCTTTTCCTCGGCCCTAGTGCCCACATCATCCAGGACACTTTGGTCTTCGAGACCTTCGATCATTTGCACGAAGCCTTTGGCTGCTCGGCTCCCATTCATTACCACGAAACACAGCTTCTCCATGACTTGATCGCCCCAAATCTCCTCAACTTCCCCCCGAGGGAAACCTCATAACCTGGTAGTAGGTTGACGCCACCGCCTGCATGGCGTGATGCCATCCCCTACCCAGGATCAGATTGTATGTGGACGACACTTTCAACACCCAGAACTCCACCTGCTTGACCACGGATCTAGCTTTGACCGGTAGGATTATCTTTCCCATTGGCCACTTCGGTTGTGAGCTAAAACCAACTAGTGGTGAAGTTGCTGGAGCCAAGTCTGTATCTCTCAGCTTAAGTTGCTTAAAGGCGTCGTAGTACATGATCTCGACCGAGCTGCCTTGATCAATCAAAATGCGTTTAACATCAAAGTTCCTAACGTGAAGGGTGACCACCAGAGCGTCATTGTGTGGCGTTTGAATGCGCTCAAGATCCCTGCTCGAGAAGCTAAGCATATTCTTTTCCTCGGTCTTTCTTCTTTTGAACGCGGACTGGACTGACAAAACTTCCCTCATATGTTCCGCTTTTTTGATCATCCCTCAGAGCTCGCAAACTCGCGCAGGCTCTACTATACCGTGGATCACATTGACCACTCCCTAGGGCGGTGCTTCTAGGTCAGCCAAACCACTTGGCTCAGCCGGTGCATGATGCGCGGCCCTGACTCCCCCGTCGATGTAACGATCCAAGTGTCCTACGGCGACTAACTTTTCCAAGTGTTGCTTCAGGGGCAAGTAGTCCTCCGTCCGGTGCCTTCGCTCCCTATGAAATGTGCAACGATGCCGCGGATTGAAGCCTTTTTGCTCATCGCCAAGCTTAACGGGAAACCGAACGTAAACCTCATCACGGATTTCACTAAGTATGCGGTAGATTGGGATCTTAAAAACTGTGGTGATGCCCGTTCGAGTGTTTAATTTTCTGTTTACATCTGCTGCGTCATCGTGGGGATAATCTGCTCGGTCGTTGAGGTGACCCTTACCCCGATTTCTACAATCCGGACCACGATCTGATTCCCTTGCGCGGTCATTTGGACGGTTTGTCTCCTGTCCGACCACGTGGACTTTTCCAGCCACCCTTTTGTCCATTGCCACTGGATTTGTCTTCACGGTGGACGCAGTCGCATCGTCCTCTACTCGGATGTGCTCATTGATGCGCTGCATCAACAGCTCCATGGAAGTCGGTTGGTTCTTCGTGAGTGAGTCCCTCAGTCTATGTCCGACCAGGAGACCACGCTTATATTGAGTGATTGCCAGGTTGGTTGGGTAATCAAGGATCTCATTGAAGGTTTCCCAATATCTGGCGTTGTATACTTTGAGGGAGTCGCCTGACTCCATCTTGACGCTCAGAAGGTGGTCAATTTCCTTTGGCGTTTTAGTGTTGGCTTTGAATCGAGTCAGGAATGCTTCCACCAACTGCTGCCACCTTTCGATGCTTTTCTCCAGAAGCCTCTCAAACCACTCCAAGCCCAACTCGCCCAAGCTCGACGGGAAAATAAGGCACATAAGAGCATCATTACGCTTCTATCCAGCCATGACCTGCCGGAAATGGCTTACGTGCATGTACAGATCGGTTTTTCCGTCATAAAGCATAAATTTGGGCTGGTGAAAGCCCGCTGGGAGCGGTGTGGTCTCTATCTCAAGGGAGAAGGGAGTGGCGCTCGACCTTGCCAAATCTTTGTCCAGAGGGACAGGCAACATTGAACGGGGTGGCCGCATTAGGACTTCTTCACTGACGTGACCTCTGTAGGATAACCACTGGAGCGCCGGCACCCTTTGAGCCTCCCGTCGGCGCGCTCATTCCTTCAAGACGTCCCTCAAGTCCTCCGAACGAGCGGAGTAGGAATATCTCGATGTCGTCAGCTGACGTGAGGGATGGTAACTACTATCTTGCACGCAAGACTTCTCTGCAAACAGGTCAGAGTCTCCAACCCCATATCTTCTGGTGATGGAAAGAGAGGGCATGTCGCTGGTTCTGGCTGCCTGAGCGGTGGGGTTGGGTGCGCTTACTGTGGTCACCCACTCCAGCAACACCCTTCTCCTTAACTTGCCACTTAAGAGCTTCCATTTCCACCGCCATTCTCCGGATGATGGCGTCTTGGTCCCTCAACTTGTGTTCCAAGCGTTGAGCGTGCAACTCTCTTCGCCGCCAGTGCCCGTCTGGACTCCACGAGTGATCAGTGCTCCTGGCGCGCTTATCTCGTGCATCTTTGGGGAGTCCTCCTGGTGAGGCCTCCAGGCTCGCCATGCTCGAAACGGCGGGAAGTCCGTCTCTCTGTCAGACTGACTCTGGGGTAATACTGTCGATGGCAGACAATGGTACTTCATTGTTTTTTGCCATGAAAGGTGATTCGATAAGCTTGGAAGACAAGGTTGTGTTTGTTTCGAGTTTTCCACAGACGGCGCCAATTGTACGGGGAGAAAATATCTGATACCACTCGTATTCCTCGCGTCCAAGTTGCGCCTTCCTCCAATTGACCTATGAACACAACGAAGGTGAGCTACCCGGCGGTGCGTCGCCGGAAAATCCCTCCAACGGTCAAGTCAGTACACACTCAGAAAGAGAGAGAAGAGAGAGAAGACAATATGTTAGTGTTTCTCTCACCAGGAGATGTTCCATCCCAGCATGGGGGGCGCAGTCACATTTATATACCTTCTGCACGAGCCACTGCGTCCATTTGCCTTTTGATGTGTGGATCTGCTCTCCTATCCCACTTTTCCACGTGTCAATGCAAATATAGCTAAACATCACCTAACCAAACCGCCAAACGGCATTGGTGCGAATGGATAGCCTGGTGGCGCTACCTTATCTTCCTACCACCACAATACTTCCAAGACGTACATAGATCTAAACCGAGCTCCGTTATGACCGAGCTTAGCAGTCCTCCGTTATGACCGAGCTCTTGTTCGGTTGGACTGATCTGTAGAAGGTCTTACCCGCCGATCTCAACGAGCAAATAACATGAACTGGGCTGACAAACGAAATTATCCCAGCCAAATTGGACCAGGGCTTTAACCGAGCGCACTCTCCCTGGATTGGTCAAAACCTGGCTTGGCCCAAACATGCTTAGTCCAATTTTAGCCCGGTCATTACCGCGGCCCAAAGCTGAATTATGAAAACTCCCTCACAATATATATATATATATATATATGACAAGGTTGTGTTTGTTTCGAGTTTTCCACAGACGGCGCCAATTGTACGGGGAGAAAATATCTGATACCACTCGTATTCCTCGCGTCCAAGTTGCGCCTTCCTCCAATTGACCTGTGAACACAACGAAGGTGAGCTACCCGGCGGTGCGTCACTGGAAAATCCCTCCAACGGTCAAGTCAGTACACACTCAGAGAGAGAGAGAAGAGAGAGAAGACAATGTGTTAGTGTTTCTCTCACCAGGAGATGTTCCATCCCAGCATGGGGGGCGCAGTCACATTTATATACCTTCTACACGAGCCACTGCGTCCATTTGCCTTTTGATGTGTGGATCTGCTCTCCTATCCCACTTTTCCACGTGTCAATGCAAATATAGCTAAACATCACCTAACCAAACCGCCAAACGGCGTTGGTGCAAATGGATAGCCTGGTGGCGTTGCCTTATCTTCCTACCACCACAATACTTCCAAGACGTACATGGATCTAAACCGAGCTCCGTTATGACCGAGCTTAGCAGTCCTCCGTTATGACCGAGCTCTTGTTCGGTTGGACTGATCTGTAGAAGGTCTTACCCGCCGATCTCAACGAGCAAATAACATGAACTGGGCTGACAAACGAAATTATCCCAGCCAAATTGGACCAGGGCTTTAACCGAGCGCACTCTCCCTGGATTGGTCAAAACCTGGCTTGGCCCAAACATGCTTAGTCCAATTTTAGCCCGGTCATTACCGCGGCCCAAAGCTGAATTATGAAAACTCCCTCACAATATATATATATATATATATATTCATTTTCTATGAATATAGATATCATTTAATTGTTATTTTTATTTTTATATATTATATTAAAAGTGGTGTTTATCCTCTCTTTTTTTCTTTCCTATGTGGCATATCTCTCTTCTCTTCTTTTTTTTATCTCCTATGTGGAACATCACTCTTCTATCTTACTTTTTAAAAACGCCACCATAATATACCCTGATACCTTAGTACTAAAATCTAATATGTAAAACAATTTTACTTAATCTGAACTACTTACAGAATTAATACTTTATGAATTAATTTTCTTTTATTAAATATTGGGGCACTTAGTTCATAAGTCCAATTTTAGATTTCTTCGATCTAAAAGCCCATGCGCTAAAGTACTATTTTCATAAAGACATATTTCTACAAAAAGACCAAACTACCCATATATATTTGGATTTACGCGTGTCTATTCAAATTGAACTCCATATAATCAAACCTCTCTCTCTCTCTCTCTCTCTCTCTCTAATGGCTCTTTTTCAACGCTCTCTCTGTTCTACCACTACTACTAACACCACTGCCAGAAACCTAATTTTGTTCGCTGCTTCGCCTCTTCATTCTTCGAGAAGCACCACACTAGCTTTCCCAAATCCGACGACATAACCGAACTCTCTCTCTTCTATTATCTCTTTGTTCTCTTCCTTGGCGTAATTTTTCCTCTGCAAACCTTCGAATTTCGATACCAAATGATGATGCACACTCTCATCTAGACCGATCTCCAATTGGTGTCATATACTTCGACACTGCCACCGGAACTGCCGACGTAAGCTGGATCGATGAGGTCGTCAAGCACAAAAGGCTCATTGACGATCGATTCTTTTGTAGTGGTTAGGAGTAGTTCCGAGTGATCAGACTGGATAATTTCGTTCGCTGCTTCGCCTCATCATTCTTCGAGAAGCACCACACTAGCTTTCCCAAATCCGACGACATAACCGAACTCTCTCTCTTCCATTCTCTCTTTGTTCTCTTCCTTGGCGTAATTTTTCCTCTACAAACCTTCGAATTTCGATACCAAATGATGATGCACACTCTCATCTAGACCGATCTCCAATTGGTGTCATATACTTCGACACTGCCACCGGAACTGCCGACGTAAGCTGGATCGATGAGGTCGTCAAGCACAAAAGGCTCATTGACGATCGATTCTTTTGTAGTGGTTAGGAGTAGTTCCGAGTGATCAGACTGGATACTCTATCCTTCAAATCCTTAAAGAGATGATGATCTGTGTTGTTAACAAATAGGACCTCTTCTGATACAGATCTGTTAAAAAATGGTCAGATCTGTTAAAAAATGGTCAGATCTATTCAAAAGGCTTAGATCTGTTTAAAAAAATTGAACAGATAGGTTGTGATAGGTTCAAAAAATTGAATAGAAGAGAAACGATTTCAACAAATAGAAAAAATAGGCTTGCGAATTCAATTTAAAAATATTAAAATAATTTGGATAGATAAGAAAAAAATTAAGACATATTCCAACAGATAGATTTTTTAACAGATAGGTTATATATATATATAAAAAAAAATTAATAAATAGGTGTTAATTTGGACAGATAATAAAAAAATTAAGACATTTCAATATGTAGATTTTTTCAATAGATATGTTAATAAATTTGACAGATAGGTTTAAAAAAATAAAACTAATAAAAAAAAAAAGATTTGAACAGATAGATTAAAATAAATGGCAAAATTAGAATCAAAATATCCTCCAAAATAACAAATGTACTTCTTATCATAATATTTCACAAAACATGTACTTCTGACTAAAAACCTTATCCGTATGACCTAACGCCTCAAGCAAATCCTTAGATTGGATTTATTACCAATTTTCTCTAAATATTAAGGATATTTTTAAATTTTTAATCTACTTTATTAATATCTTATGATTGATTTATATTGAGTTTTCTATTTAACATGAAATTCTTTATTAGAAAACATTTATATTTAATTTAAATTTTATACATCTATACACAATACGTATGAATAATTCAAAAAGAATATTGAAGAGAAAATTAATATTCTACATAATTAATTTATATATTTTCTTGTTAATCCAACTACAACATATTTATATTTAATTTTTTAAAAAAAATAAATTTTGTATAACTTCTATTTCTACATATCTTTATTTTCCAAATGAATATAAAAGAAAATTAATTAAGAAGGAATTTTAACTTTTAGAAAAATTCTAATATACACACTCCGTGAAATGAGTGTATTAAATATACCTCTAATTATATCATTTTCTTTTCTAGTTAACTCATGAGATCCCTGACTATGTCTTATGTGATATTTGGTTATGATTTTTTTTTTTTAATATCGTTGTGACTTAGAAAGTATGGAGTTATTTAATTTTTTTTTAAAAAAAATTCTAAGGATCTGTTTGTTTTCAGAGTTAAGTTGGGTGAGATTATTAGTATGACGATTGTTAGTGAGGAGTTTACGAAAAATTATATTTGTTTGTGATATATTTTAGTAAGGGAATTAACTATATGAAATGCCATAAATACCCTTTGGTATTTTTGATATATTTTAACATTCAAAATTATATTTTGGTAC